GATTCATAGAACATACCATACCCATTCTCTCAAACAAAAGACAGAGAAAATGAAAGACTATGAAAAGTATGGGGCAAAACCCCCAAAACCTGGCAGTGTCTAAACTAGCAAATAAGCAAACAAATACAGCTTAATGGAATATACCCAGTCTCAAACTTTTTCTAGTCCCAATAGTCAAATAATAGCTTTATCTAGGGGAATAGCCATCATTGCTAATACTGCAAGAAGCCTCTGTTGGACACACTGCTTGCAGCCAAAACGAACACTCCTTCCCTACCATCTCTCAGCTTTGCTTGAAACGTTACGAGCAAGAGTCCTTCAGTGGGAGCCTTTTAAGGTACCACCTCTGGCCAGCACCCCTGACTAGGGAGAGCCTGAGCGAGAGCCAGGAGGGTGAAACATAGGCAAGAGCTGGAAAAGTCCTGGCGAGGAACCAACTCCAGAGACTGCCACAGCTTAAGGGCCAAAACACTGGAGGAGACTCCTGAAAGAGAGCTGTTCTTGAGCAAAGCAGTCTTCATTTCTGGTGATCATAGTGGTTTTTTTAAAAACTTAGTCAAAACTAATGAGCAAATAAGCTCTTTTATACTACAAGCAGAGAAGTATTTCTAACGATTGCATTTTCAGACCCAGCAAGGCAATCTTTTCCCTTGGTCCAATCCAGCCATTTAAGCTAAACTGCACAGCCTCGTGATCTTACAAAATCTTTCAACCATGATTTTTTGGGAGGAGAGCGCCCTATAGGCTCCACCAGGAACCATAAACAGGTGTTTTCAGAGGCAGAAGGAGTTATTTTTCACATCATGACTGCATTAACAAATATTGCAGAGAGTTTTCCTCCTTTATTAGATAATTTAATAGCCACCCCTAATAACTCCATCTGCAAAGATATAAAGCATTATCTTTAGTACAATGAGCTGATGGATTTAAAAAGCAATTAAATCAAGAGAAATATGATCAATCTGATCAATCTTACTCAAAAGGTACTAAAATACCAATTCAAATAAGCTGTTGTTTTTTTAAATAGATTTAGACATGCACAAATATACTGATAGCTAACACCACTACCAATCTCAGCAAATTGATGTAATTGATGTTCATCTCTAAAATTCACTGTAAGGCCTTAATCACAGGCTTTCTGATACCTTTGTTGCCCTTCTTGGTTAAGAGTTGGAACAACTTCATTAGTCTAAGTGAAGATTTTTTTAAAAGCATATTTTCAATTTTTTCTTTCCTTGTGCTTTCATTAAAGCAAGCTGAGAAGAACTTTTAAGATTACAATATGCTTTTACTAGAGAAATTTAACTTTAAATACACATACATAATATTCTTAAGGGTAGTGTAAATACCATCAAGCCAATTATGGTTTTGCAGTAATTAAATCTTCAGTCTGCAGCAAACTATGTAAAAAATGATCCTTGTTGAGAAATGTTGCGATGGATATTTTTTTATCAACACATATATGTATCCTGAAATCAGGAATAGGCACAGTTTAAAGAGCTCCTTCTGTACTCCACTGGCTCTCCAGACGGTGGTTCTATTTAAGGCAACACCTAAAATGCATTGTTCTGGGTTACTACAATAACTGGGACATAGTCTAACACAATTTAATGTACAATCATTATACAAATTGAGAACACGGGCATTTCCAGTTAAACTCTTTTTTGCCTTCTCTGAGCAGCTACAGCATCCTGAACTCCTATACTACTTATGGCTCAAAGCTACAATAATACAAGTAACGGCAACTGTTAAAGGTCACAATTTGACAGTGACCCATACCTTGTACTCTTGTCATAAGAATGTAACTACACAAAATAGTATTACTTCTACAAAGCATAAGAAATCTCAAAACCTGCCATCGTTCGTGAACATTCATACTACAAGTGTATGGGTTTTGTACGTTGGGTTGGGTTTTTTCTGTGAACAGGACTCTCTTACTCTGTAATCATATGTAGCATCTGGATTTTCATCACAGGCAATAACTTCTGGAGCCATCCAGTACGGAGTTCCAATAAAAGTGTTTCTCCTGCCAACTGTCCTGTCCAGCTGAGCACTCACACCAAAATCCACTGTGGATGGGAAAAGAGTAAAATAAAATAAGAGGGGGAAAAATAATGCAGTGATTACTTCTATAAGGTGATTTGGAAATAAAACCCCATGAATGTTCTATATGGGAGGACTATGCTGAGGAGAAATAATATGATGAATACTGAGGCAGCCGAGCCTTTGTGGTTCACATGCAACATGTTGGCTCACACGTGTCAAGGGACATGGCAGCATGCGACCACCTCTCCTGCACCTCTCACCGGCCTGCCTGTACAGAAGGGAGTGTACAGCTGCAAAAATACTGCCTGGGAGGCTGAGGAAAGGCTATTCCCTTCCCAAATGGTGAAGCCAAGCCCCTTTGTCTATTGAAAGGGAGTTGCTTCCCAAAGGTACCTCTTATGCTGTGGGAAAACCACATGTGTGAACACGTCTCCTTTTCAGCTGTCCACCTTTTCTGCTCTAAAATCAGACAGCAAAAATTATTTGTTGTTCAGTGAATTGCTCTCTGCTCTAACATACAGAGCAGATGTGTCGATAGGAGCAAAAGATGAGGATTATTCAAGAGGTGCCAACTTTGAGCACACGCACACATGGATTGCAAAAGGGATGCCCATTTCATTACAGGGCAATTACATTACAAGGGTGTTTTCTTCCCTTCAGTTCTCCCTGCTCACGACAACAGTGATACATGTCTTTCTATACCAGTAACTGCATCTGCCTTAGGAGGGCTGTGTCAGCTTCACTGCATCCATCATCTGAGCAACGCTGACAAACTGGTGTAGACGAGCTCGGTGGGAGCAACGGTTTGGGAGCTACTGTGCTCCACTTTGGACCAAAAGGAGGAAAGCTCTCCTGAGAGCTTCCTCCTCCAGCAGCTGGGACATCTTCCCATGCCTTGTGCTGCAGGAAGGTGTAATGCAAAACAGAAGGGATGTGGGCTGGGTGGGAGGGCTTCAGCATGGCTCTATATTTAACTGAAAAAAGGTGGCGAACGTAGTGTGATACACAGAAGGTTAAAGTGTGCGGTAACTGGAAGAGACGGATTAGAGAGAAGGAAAAAAAGTGCTTGTCCACTTGGAAGGGAGGGAAGAGGCCAGGGATGAGCATGGGTTTCAGCAGGCATGCCAGAGCTGGAACTACGTTTTGAACTTGATGCCACAGCTCCCTCAAGAGTGCTGTCCAGATTGTATTTTTGTGTCCAGAACCTGCACAGCAGGTGCTATTTTAATTAAAGCCAAATAAAAGAGTGACTCTCATCACTTCCCAAGTCCAGAATAAAGAGAATCAGAACCAACCCAAGTCATGCACGGCTTGGGGAGGGGGGCACAAAACGATCCCCTCACCGATTCTGGCATGAAAGCCAACATCTTCTAACAAAATGCATGCCATCCTCCCAAAGCAAGAAGAAATATGTGCAGAGCCTCGATTCACACAGGAGCAGTGACAGAGTACACATGCTACAGAGCATGTCACAGGGCTCTTAGAGGATAAAATCAGTTTGGGAACATAAGAAACAAAGGTTGAATGAATGAGGCAGTGGATGTGTGTGCCTACTTACCAAGTTTCACTTCTGCATTCTCAGTTAACAACACATTTTGTCCTTTGATATCCCTGTGAATCACATGGTGGGCATGAAGATGTGCCAACCCCTGCATTAAGAAGAGGAGAGGAAGGAGACGACATCAGAGCTAGGCTCTTGGCTTAACAACAGACTACCCGTACCAGCACCCGCAAAGCCCATGGCACTGGGTCTCGGGCTCTTGCTTAGCGGCTGGGTGCAATGGGATCCGGGGGAGCCTTGTAGCAGCACACTGCCCGCACAGCTTTCCGTAACGGAGCAGAGACACAGGCCCCAGGTCACGCACACGCTGCACCTAAATACAGCCCAACATCTGTACTGTGCAAACACCTCTCAGCTGTCATGTGAAGAAAGTTCAGTTCCCAGAAAGTCTCTATGCAATGACACTGCAAATGACAACAGCATCAATGTACATCACTGACACCTGACACACACAGGGTCACAAAGAATTTAGTCCGGGGAAGGGGGCTGGAGGGAGAAAAAAGGCAGCATCAGCATGCAGACATGTACGCCCGAGAAGGCGGTGGGAGGGTGACGGACTTGTAGTTATATTTGAGGGCAAGAGAAGACTGACAACAAACAAAAGCTCTGCTGCAAAGCTGCAGTTCTCTAGCCTCCATTAATATGAAGCCAGATAATTGTTCCTCAGGAAAAAAAAAATGCAAAAAAACTCCAACCATGAGCATTACACTTTCCAAAGGAAACAAAACGTCCTGGCATACGGTGCTTTTTGTTGAGACAGCACCTGGATGCATGCCCCAAAGCATCAGCCATGTGGAGGGAGGGCTGAGGAAGACATATGTTGCATTTTACTCTCTAATGTAATTGGGAGAACAACAGGCAACCCTCTTAGCAACTGCCTGTATTTTGGTTTCTCCTCAGATCTCTGCTCGGAAAATTGCAGTCTCCAGTGGGATCGTCTTGCCTGTTCGTGTTGCCCTCATAGGCTTTTAATGTTTTATGAAAAATAAAGAAATAGAACCTTTACAGCTGCAAGAGGTTAAGAGAGTAGTCGTTGCTGTAGAGAAATATTTCCTAACACATGTTCTTCATTAAATGATCATTTACCAGTTTGCCTACATAACCATTGGGCTATTTTCTTTTTTTAAAACAGTTAATGAGCGTGACCAAAAAAAACACAGTCCACAGCTCCTCCCCGCACATGTCACAAGCGAATCAAGTGAACGGCTGATGTCCCCGAGACCCTTTGCTGGCTGCTAACGCTAAGTGTGGTCTTATTTTTCACAGGAATGAAGACTTTTCCACGGCTTCACACCGGATACTTTTTAAAGCTTTCTGCTATGCCGACCCAGCCAGAGAGATAATCGTCTGTTTTCTCTAGAGTACCATCTAACCTTACTGAAAAAACACATTTAGGTTTGCGAAGGGCAGGGAGGAGGCAGAGGGGCACAAGCCCCTCCAACCACACAGGGATCCACAGGGTCGACCCTCACCTGTGTCTCCACCTGCACCAATCTTTGGCACTTTAGCTCATTTTAACTTTCTGTTACACAACCTCTCTCCCCCATCTCTGACAAACTCAGTGTCAAATCAGGTTTTGCAATGTCTCATAGCAATGTGAGTTTAGCATTCCTTTTTTCCAGATATTCCAGTTCCTGCTAGCAAGCAATTAAGGCTCCTTTTGCAAATCTCTCACAGGAGTGAGAAAATAGCTTTCACCTCATTCTTTTCTGAGGTAAATAATTTTTTCCTCTTCTTGGCAAATGTGACTACCTTACTGAAGGAGAACCTAGGATGAATCCAATATAGCATGCATCCAATAGCATCCAAGGTGACACAGTTCTCAAATTAAGCATAAGATCAGTCCTGCAGAAGTTAGCTTTCCTCATATTAAAGCATGCTATCCATTTGATTTGAAATACAACCATCAGTAGGTATTCAACTTTTCTTCTCTCTCGTAAACAACTTAAAACGTGCCAGCCCAAACGCCAGCAGCCGGACTCTCTCCTAGCATTTCGAGTTAGAGCAAGAGACCAGAATTGTACGTCTCCCTCCCCATCTTAAAAATCGCCAAAGCCGAGCAAATGTGTAACACAGACAACAGGAACATTGATTTATGCAAGAGCCAGTGATGGTTTCCTTTAACATAAAGCCCTTCAGAACTTCATTTATGATGAGGTAATTGAACAAACATACTGTGTAGTGGTACGGGTAGGAGGCAATTTGTTATACAAAGAAGCACGAGGAAAACCATACCAGATTTACTTAGCACAGCAAACAAATGCCAATTCAAAAAGCCCTTAAACTGTACCAACTGGAAATTAAATACGAAGAGTAATTAATTAAAGCTTCAGTTTTAGAAAAACTGGTAAGTGGCATCCCTTTTCCCGAGAAACTTTTGCAGCGCCGTCTGCCAGCACTCAACAGCGCACAACCACATACGATGGAGCTGCTTGCTGTAGACAGACTGCGGGAATATTGAATGTGCGAGCACATCACAGCACAGAAGTCCTGAATGGCGGCCTGAGCCAACAACTCCTTTCCTCCACAGACTTGAATAGGAGCAGAGAAAGACGGCTGCAAGCACATTTGGAAAAGTCCACTCTGCACCCTATGTTGTTACGACACTCTTACAACCTCAGGCTTCTCAACTACAGTGTCCTATGGGCACTGTTTCACAGCTTCTACAATAGGTAAGGTCACTGATTCTTCCGCTGGCTTCTCATGACTGAAAATTGCTATTTTCTGCAAGGCTGCTGTGACAATACAGTGCAACTCACACCAAGTTAAATGATGTGGAGCAGACATCTATCTGCTCCTACGCACTCTCCAAGCGATGACATGGCTAACAGAATTGATCAGAAACAGCTTCTTGCAGAACCTCAAGCCAGGCTACATCCCTGTAAGACTGTTTCTGTGTTTTCAAGCGGAGCAGACTATTTTCCTTACCCGGAGAATCTCTCTGGAGATATATGCTATCCAGTCTTCTTTCAGAGTATTCCCTTTCGTGTTCTTCACAAGGTCTGTGATAGAGCCTGCTCCACAAAACTCCATAACAAGCTGCAAAACAAATATCAACATGCAACCAACATTAAACGCAGTTCCCAGATGTCTAGCAAAGTAAAATAATCAGGTTGCAGCACTGATTTGGGAAACCCTTGCAAAGCAGTGAATATAATGTATATTACATCTCTGCCTGGAAAATGGATTCAAGCCAAGTATCTCCAATGTGTGTTAGACATATATGGAATATGTCGCACATTAGTTACCACATTTTCAAGGACTGATTTAATCACTGTAATTTAATGCTGGGAATCTGGATTTGCTCAGCTATGCAAAATGCATTAGCAGCAACAGGAGTAAGAGCACATCCAATGCTGAAGGAATCAAACTGATCACACCATTGCAACACATCTTACCCTTGAGCTCCCGTTTATTTATGGAAGAACATGCATTGATGTCTGTACCCTGCTATTTCAAACCCAAACTTCAATCCTCTATAGGATGTAGATGAGGTGGGATGAGAAATGTAATGGGTACAATTCTCAAGTGCAGCTTTCTTTTTTCAGGCACATATTCTTACTGCTCAGCTCATCAGTCCTGTTCCCATGAAACATGTTACTATCCATCTGGGAACTGGGGAAAAAAACCGTTAGTTAAAGAGCAAATCCATTGCTAATAGCAAATCTTGGTTCAGCCATCCTCTTAAGGATGCACGGTTAGCCTATGTGATTCACTTATCTATCTGTTCCGACAAGCACAAAATTCTATTAGTTTGTCTTTCCGTAATGTGATATTTCAGTCATCCTCAAACTATATCCAAAAGGGAAAGACTTATGAACATGCTTGAGAAATATCTGCTTACCCACAGTTGGTCGTCATGTCCTGGAGGACTTTTCTTAATGAAAGCACCATAATAAGTTGCAATATTTCTATGATGAGAATATTTCTTTAGCATATTAATCTCCAGTTTGATTTCTTCTTCTTCGTCCTTCGGAAAAAAAAACATAAACATATGTTTAATACACCACGTGCATTATTTATTTCCTCTTCTCTTTCACACAAGCAGATTTTTAAAAAGCTGAATTTATACCAGCATCATGGTCAGTAAACACATCCTATGTTAATACCATCAAAATCCTATTTATTGAGATGGTCTAAACCAGACCTTTACTTTCCTAAGCTTTCAGTAGTGTAAAAAAGCAAATGAAGGATGCACTGGACTTCATCCAATGATGGAGCAGGACAGGATCTGTTTAAAAACCCTATACTTGTAATACCTTAAGCAAATGCATAGCTAGCAGGCTTTTATTCTATGTAACCCAGAGAACTAGAAAACCGGAAAAATCTGTGAATTTACAATAAAGGCGTATTATTTTCATCCTCCTCATTTTTTCCCCTTTAATTTTGAAAATTGCAACCAGTTCTATTTAAATACCAGACAGCGGCTCAGCGCAGTCAGCTACCGAAGCAGGCCATCCAAGGTGGGTCCCCCCCCCGGTGGGGGCCACAGGGTCCCAACCTTGCTGCCAGCACAGGGCTGGTGCAGGAAAGCAGAGGTGGAGATCAAGAATTCCCCTCATTGCGCGGACAAAGCGTTCGCCTCGTGCACAAGTTTCCTCCTCCTCCTCCATCTGCCTCCACAGAGGAAGAGCAAGTGCATCAGGAAGAGAGGGCCGGGAGCCCGGGCGGTAAACAGGATGCTGGGACACAAAGGCAGAGGAAGGATTTCCCCTGGTTCCTCCCGCCTCAGCGAGGTGCCAAGCAGAGAGCAGTTCAGGTGAACGGAGGTCATCCCTTCAAAGAGCTGAAACGGGTAATGCTACGCAACCACTCCTTAAAAACACCCACAGTCCATTTTTGAAGTGACAGCAGGATGCGTGGAAGGATCCACGCACGGTTTGAGGTGATGCCTGAGCAGGCGGCCAGCAGATACAGAAGAAGAAGGAGCAGACACCTTCCCACCGCCAGCTCTCTCACCACACCGAGACAGCAGGAGCCTTCATCTAGCACCTCTCAAGGCAATGAGTGAAGAGGCAGCTGGTGTACCCCTTTAGGCACAATTTTTATTCGCTCCACAATTTTCTAGACCTAGATATCCAGGGGGAAAATGCCTACCTTAAACTGATTCCAGGAAGAAACCAAAACCTCTGTTCCCTAGGGTGGCTGGCTGATGGAAATGGTAGCACGTATTTTGATTATCTTGTAATGCCAAAGCTGATTACATGAGAAAATTTTAAGCCTTAAACTTCCTTGCAATTTGTACCACGCTAGCAATCAAGTATCTTATTCATGACATATGCAGATGTTAATACTAAGTACATGTTAACTATTTATACACACTGGTACACATGGCTTTAGCAAAAGAAACCATCCTATACTACAAAGCAAACAACTATTTCAAATACACTAATAGAGGGATGCAGTGCTTACTCATAAATTATGACGAGAGAAATTCCAAAATGCACCGGGGATAAACTATCCCTAAATCTTCTCATGACGCATCTTTAAAGTAAAATACTGTGTATTTCTGGAACACTGAACAAAATAGTAAAATAATCTTGTAAATCAAAGTTCCCAGTGAACAGCAGCCCTGGGAGAAAGCATTATCAGAACAGCTTTTTGAGCCAAAAGTTAACTGGGTGCTTCCTCTACTGCTTCTGTTGTCCTTGCTGTTGTGTGATTTTTTTAGTTATTTAGACCATATGCAAAAAAAAAAAAAAAAAGAAGTAAAACAAATACATGTGTATAATAGAAACTACCACACTGAACTTTGAATTTAGGCAAAAAACCTGTAACGGGAGCTCTGTTAAACTTAATGGGTTTGGACTTAATCGCTGATAGGTTAATATGTATAACTGGATTAATCTGCTACTTTGTACTGACTTTTTACATTAAAACTATTTCCTACCCTCAGCACATGAACACAATAGCTTTTACAATACAATGGGCAGGATGTCCTAAAGGTTGTTCGTGTTTATCTATTGCAACAACAGCCAAAATGACAATGCTTAGACGGGATCTATTTCTGCAAAATAAAATAATAAAAAAAAAAAACAAAAAACAACCCAAAGAACAAACAACAACAAAAAAGGAACACACAGACCCAGCAGACTGCAGGCAGTTACCGCTCTTTCAGTTTTTCCTTGCGGCTGTGTCAAGGCACCTGCTCAATAGCCAGCAACAACCTTAACTAAGGCTAATAATGGTCCTAAACTTCTATTTCAGCTGTCATTGAGCATTTGTCCACAACACAAATAGCATCTCACCTACAGTACAATCCAGTCCAAATTCCAGTCTACAGAAATAAATGGATTCAGTAATTCTTGCCAGGCTTTGGAGGACTCCACTTACTTAGCGTGGATCGATAACTCCCTGGCACTGAATCCCAAAGACTTTGTGGCGACAGGAACTATCATGAGGATTAATCAGCATGGACAAGGCTGCAGTACCACTGTGGTACAGCAATTGGTGTAAAATTAAAAAAAAAAAAAAAAAAAGAAAAAAATTAAAAAAAAAGGTGACGAGACCAAAATTGTTCTGTTCCAGATTCAGGAACATTTTTTTCCAGGGTACAATTGATTTCATCCCAATGTGGACATCTAAAAGAGGCCAAACAATGTGCGCCCTACCGGTGTTTACTTCTCCCCACTAACTACAAAAGGAGGATGAGGTCATTAGCCAAGATCCAGACACCAATCTTGCAGATGTCTCGCATCAGAGTGAGATGAATCCCACCCAAAAACCTCACCGGATAGGACCGTTTCCGCACAGGTCTCTTTACGGACACACGTGCCGCAGGGAGGGCAGGCTGCTGCCTGCAACAGGGATCCTCCTGTGCAGAGGGAGGTGTTTCAGCAGCCGTCCCGGGATTGGGATGCGTGAGCCGGCCTCAGGGACAGAAGGTCCCTCACCTCCTCCCAACAGCACACGCGCTGCACCACCACCACCACCACTAACAGTCCCTCCATTTGCAGAGATGCCAGGATCACAAAGGGGGAAAATTAAAGCCGATTGAGGCGAGGGACTGTCATTCTCATGAAGGAATACAAAAGTACATCCTTTTTTCTTGGAGAAGAGAGGCAGCTGGTGAGCACTTCCTAGTGATTTTATGCAGCTGGCATCAATTACCACTTTAAGTCATTATCTGTGGATACAAACTCCCATTGAAACCTTCTTTGTCTGGCCTGTGATGGGGCTGGTGTAAGTGTTTTATACTTACACATTTGCTGTCTGTTTGTGACAGCATGTCTGATTACTAGTAATTTTTGCAGTAAGCTATACTTTTGCAAGTCTCACGTGGTTAAATCGAGCTTGGAGCAGCTTTCCTCTCCCTTTCCGTGCGTTTCCCTTCAGAGATTAAACAGACACGTCAGCATCTCCAGGGATTTCTAAATGCAACGCTGTTTTATCAAAACGACTTTGCCTGCAAGGTTAAAAACTGCATACGACACCCGCACAGAAATCCACCTATGTATACTAAGATACTTTCTAACCATTTGAATTAGCACATTAAAAATAAACCCAGGCATGTTACCTCCCAGCATGCCACCTAGCGGCATCTGAACAGCTTGCCTATGGCTGTAGCACAACATCTCCACACCGCTTGCTCTTCCATTCATCACTGCACGCTAAATATCAGATTATTTTTTTTGCATGTAGATGGCAAACCAATGACTTGTTACATTCATTACATCACCACTTACAAAACTGAGATGATTTAACTATCTGAGTGATTTAAGTGTCTGACCATGGTTGCCACTGGAGTAACAACTCCCAGTCAAATAAAAGCTACTAGAGCAAACCCATGTAAGGAATATTCATCTGGACAGCTCAATTATTCCATTTCAGGATGTTTTCCAAAGGTAACCCCCCCTGCATCATTTTTGCAAGAAAATCTCACTTATGTATACAAATTCTTAGAAGATGAGGAATTCAGAAGCGCTTTCCTGGGCATCGTGGTAGGGAGGGAGAAGAAGGGAACTAGAGCTCTGGAAGTGCCAGAAGCAGGGAGGACAACCAAAGGAAAAGAAAAATCACTTCACAGCTGCCCTGTTTTTATATGTTTCCCTAAACATTGTTGTCTAGGTGCCTCAGAAGACCAAGCAAAACAGGCCTGACCTGCCCCTGCACTGCAACTGGTACGAGACCCCTATGAGAAATCTGTCTCTGAAACAGACTTGGGGAAGTAAAGGGGGAATAACACTGTTTTCCAAGCTCTATAGCACAAGGAAATTATTTCAGGACCTAAATTTTTAAAAAAACAAACAAACAAAAAAAACAACCAACACTTAAGGTAAAGCGAGGAAGTATCCCAGGCCATGTAAGTGGTGACTTTCCATCCATAGACCTACGGGTGGAAGAGCTGCCTGACCACTGCTCTTTGCTAGCTGCTGCTTCTGCCCTCCCAAGGGATGGTACGGGTCAGGGAGGAGAAACTCAGGACAATTTCAGAAGATTTTATTTACCCTGGTAGTACGATGAGGGGAAATGTGAATGAGGAAACATGGCCAAGCAAGGATAAAGCAAGACAATGTTCTGTGATGAAGGTAAGAGCAAGTTTACCTATCCCACCAGATGATTTATATGCTGCCCTAAATCAGTTTGCAGAGGAATACAGATCAATCCTGTCAGTAACTTTCCTTTTTGATTTAAGAAATGAGACAGTGACAAATCTCAGCTCTCCCCGCACAAATAGCATCCAGTCATTTTAAGCTACAACCAAGTGTTTTAAGAATTAACACCACTCCCCAACAGTGGAAAGCCGAACACGCAGGCAACGGGGGATGGGGAAAGGGAAGCCTCCAAGTCTCCTTTCCTTTGCTATCCCAATGCTGGTCATGAAACTCTGCCTGCCTACACGCAGGGAGCTGCACTGCCTGGAGAATGGCAGCTGGCAACGCTCTGCCTGGGGTTTCAGAGTAAGCTGAGTTGCTGAGAGTCACGACCTCCAGCGGTAGATTTGTGAGATATGGGAATCTTTAAATCTCG